TGACAGCGCGCGCACACACACACACACACACACACACACACACACACATCAATTCTTCTGTAATCTTTAGTCAGTGTCCAGCTCTCAGATTCACAGCAAGTGACTGAAAAGATGGCCTGAATCAGGTGCATCTTTGTTCTCAAACTGACATCATGACTCCTCAATAATTTGGAGAGGTCTCTGACTGCAGACTTCTGGCATAAGATGTATTTTTTTTAATGCCAGTTCAATATATCTCCTGACTGCTGTTACTAAGTGTATTAATTATAGATCCAAGTAAGAAGCCATTGACAGTCTCAATCATTTCTCCATCTATATCATGTTGACTATATGTCGAGTGGTGAGGATTTTTGTTTACTTGACATTGAAATGCAATCAATATTGAAGGTTGTAGTGGGTTTTTTAATCTTCTACAGTACACAATTCAAGTCCTCCTCACTTGCAACTAGCAAAGCTGTGATGAGTCTTCCTCCAGACCTAACACCATATTCTTCTTCACTAAGTCCAGTTTCTCAAATAATTTGCTCAGTATACAGATTGAACAGGTAGAGAAAGGATATAACTCTGATGCACTGTTCTTAATTTTAAGCCATGTAGTACTCTGTTCGCACAATAGCCTCTTGGTTTAGGCATAGATTTCACATTTAAGCACAGTTAAGTGTCCTGGGATTCCCATTCTTCTCAATATTAGCCATAATTTGTTATGACTCGCACAGTCAAATGCCTTTGTGTAGTCAAAAATATACAGCACAAATAAGATATTCTTCTGGTATTTTTTGGCGTTAGCCAGGATCCATCTGACATCAGCAATGATATCCTTAGTGCCATGACTACTTCTAAATCCAGCTTGCACTTCTGGTAATTCTGTCTCAGTAGAATTAAAAATATTCCTACAACAGTGCTTTTAAGGGTATTATTTCATGAAACTGTATAGGAGTACTGACTAATGGCAAAAGATGTATTTTACGTTTCACAGTGAAAAGGTGAAAGCCATCATTTTATAGTATGTATATTAACTCATACTTCACAGCATGTATGGCTAGTCCAAGATCATAAAACAAATCTGTCTACCCAAATACACAAGGAGAGCAAGTACAAACCTTGTATTTGAAATATCAAATACTCCTTTAAAAGCTCTATCAAATTCTTTCCTATTTAATAACTCAAAACAGGAGTGGCATCCACTTCCTAAACACCATACCTCTGGAAACTCTATAAACTTTTATAAATGTCGATAGTTACAGAAAAGCTTCAGGTTTTTTGTTCATTAGGTCACTATGAGTTGTACTTGACTGGATGGCAATCAACAACAATTAGTTAAACTGGCAAATTTGTTTAACTACTTTCCTTCCAAGAGTATCATCCAGGAAGAGTGCAAACGGTCATTGCAAAGAC